AAATATGTGCTTCAATGTATCATATATGACATAAAAGAGAAAAAAAGAGACAGCATTTACAAAAATATAATACGTATACAAATAATATTTTACGTATATATATATAAATATATATTTTTTTTTTTATTTGCATTCACTCCCAACAAGGCTGCAAGCAACCATAATTAAGTTGGGAGTTACTAGGAAAAAAAAAGAACAGAGTTATAGAGCAAGGAAACGGTTGACAGAAGACTTGAAAAGTTGAAGGTTGTATGAGTCAGGAAAACATGAAGATAAGAGAGAGTTCCAAAGGATTGAAGTGCGGGGAAAAAAACTAGATGAATAAAAGTTTTTAGAGCATGCAGGGACAGATACAGTAAACGAATGAGACTTAGCTGAATGACTAGTAAAACGAGAATGAATTTTAGTTGATGGAACTAGAGATGATAACTCCTATGAGCAGTGACCATGATAGTATCTGTAGAAAAGAGAAAGAGATGCAACTTTACGACGATGGGAAAGAGGTTCAAGCTTAGCAGATAGTCCAGGTCCAACAACATTTACAATGCGTTTTTGGACCTTGTCAAGAAGAGAAAGTGAATCGTTAGAAGGACCAGCCCAAATATGACAACAGTATTCCATACAGGGACGAATAAGAGATTTGTAGAGGTAGAGAATGGAATTAGAAGTAAGGAAATGGCGAGCACGATTAAGAGAAGCAACCTTAGCAGAAGCTAATTTAGCAATCGATTGTATATATGGTTTCCATGAAAGGTCAGTAGTAAGCGATAATCCAAGAAGACGTAAAGAGGACGACTCAGTAAGAGGATTGCCATTCATTAATATAGGAATGTTGACCATATTACGGTAGTTGTTTGCAGTAAGCAATTGGGTTTTTTTAGAGTTGAAATTCACAAGCCACTGTTAACCCCAATCTATCTCCATAAGACCAGCATGCTGGTCTTATGGAGAAGACCAGCATGCCAAACTTTGTCGAAAGCTTTAGATATGTCGAGAGCAACAGCCCTAGCCTCACCGCCTCCATCTAATGCACGATAAAATCTTTCAGTTACAGCAGTTAGCAAGTCGGCCGTAGAGCCAGAGGATCGAAAACCGTATTGATTGTCTGACAGCAGTTTATTTGACTCAAGATGAGATGTGAGGAATTTGTTGATCAAAGACTCAAAGACCTTGCTAATAACAGAAAGAAGACTGATCGGACTATAATTGGAGGGGTCAGAATTTTCTCCAGAGTTTTTGAATATTGGAACCACAGATGCCATTTTCCAACAAGCAGGAAAACAAGACTCAGTCAAACACTTGTTAAATAGTTTAGAGAGAATTGAAGAAAGTTCTGGAGAACAATTCTGCAAGACTGTGACAGGAATGTTGTCTGGACCACAAGCTGTAGACGAGTTTAATTGAGATATGACTTTAGCAACAGAAGCCGGAGCGATTTGAATGTCTAACAATGGGTCAACCTGTTTGACTGGAATGGAAGGAAGAGAATGTCTATAAGATTCAGGAGTGGAATTAGAAAAAAAGTTCTTTTGCCTTATCCTTGGGAGAGGTAATAAGATCAGTCCCATGAATGAGAGATGGAATGTTAGATCTACCCTTGTTAACAATGCTGTTAAAGATTTTCCAAAAGTCTTTAGAGCCTAACTTCTGCGATAAGATGCGAGATTTAGTGAACTGAGAATAATGGAGTTTAGCATCAGAAAGCACCTTTTTACATCGATTTCTTGCAATAATAAATAGCCGTTTGTTCTCAAGAGAGTTGTTCTTTTGAAAAAGATGAAAAAAATGATTACGATTGGATATAGCAGCCGCACAAGAAGGAGAAAACCATGGAGTAGAATGAGGCTTGACTTGAAACCGACGAGAAGGAATAAAAGCTTCCATTCCAGCCTGAATCCAGGAGGTTACGTAGGAGGCGCATTTGTCAGCTGAGAGAGAAAAAACATCAGCCTAAGGACCATCACGAAGAAAATCACGAAAGGAATCCCAGTATAAAAAATCACGAAAGGAATCCCATATATATATATATATATATATATATATATATATATATATATATATATATATATATATATATATATATATATATATATATATATATATATATAATAATATATATTTTATATATTTATATTTATATAATTATTATTCTCAATTTTTCATTACAACTTTTTTTACATGGAGATTTAAAACAATTTCTTGTAACAATTTAAACAATTTCAATAAAAGTTTTTTAATAAGACAACCTAACGATGTTGTTTTATTTAGCTACGGTTTTTCAAACTCATTTATTTGAAACAAGGATTTAAAAAGTAGTGTGAACGGAAAAACGCGTCACTAGTTTAAATAACCACGATTAAAACTGGTTTTAATTTTAGTGTGAATGGGGTATAAGCAAGGAAAAACAAGAGTTGTTATTTTTTTGAAATGTTAGCTTTAACCAAGCAATAAGCTGGAAAAACAAAAAAAACGATTTTTGCAATTCTCGTATGCACAAAAGTAATTTTAAAAATTAAGACATTCACATCTATTAGAAAATCTACATTGCTTCTATTTTTTAAATTAAAATTTATTTACAATATCAAGCAATAAATATACCCAATAAATATAAATAAATAGCTCAAGAAATATTATAAATTGCAAATTTAAAACAAAAGATTTTAAAGTAATTAAATAATGCTTAAATTAATTTTATGACCAATATAAATACAATTATAAACAAAACTAAAATAAAAAGTCGTTATAAATCTATATACAAAGTGGATATTTTAACTTTATACACAAAGTGGATATACTAAAACCTATGTTCTTTATTAATTTTTTTTAAAGCTTGTAAGTTTTTCTTGTTGTTAAACAATGTTTTGAAAAAAAAAAGAAAAAACTTATTTATGAAAATAAAATCTCAAGAACTCATTTTCATTAACACAAGAATCTCAAGAGCCAAACTCTGTAACATTTTCATCAATCGGATTGTATTTATAACCTCCTTTCCCATCCATATATAAAACATACTAAAATTAAAAATAAATGCATTTTATCATTTCAAAATTAAGTTGTTAAAAATTATAAATATTTCAAAAATATAATATTCTAAATTTTGGTTTCAAAACATTTTCTAAAAAATAAATTTTAGTTTAAAAATATATTTTAATTCTTAATTTTGAATTCCAACTAGTAACTAATTTTACAAACAGCAAATTAACCTCATGATACTTCCAAAGAGATTTTCGATGTGACACAGTAAATAATGTGATCCCAACCTAAAAAAAAAATTGCCAAAGAATAATTTTGTAAATTATGATCTGCTATACAAATTTGCAAAAATTTAAAAATATTCAAAGCTTTTACATAATTCTTACCTCTCTGCAATGAGCGTATATATACCCTTCAACGTCAACACTCACAGCACTTGTGCATTCATCTAATATTGCAAACTGTGGTGCATGATAAAACAAACGGGCCATCTAACAACAACAAAAAAAATGTTTTACAATTGAACCCTTCATTTCAAAAATGACGCAAAAACTTTTCAGGATCAATAAAATTATGTTTCTATCAAAAAAGTAACTAAAATGACGCAAAAAACTTTTCAGGATCAATAAAATTATGTTTCTATCAAAAAAGTAACTAAAATGACGCAAAAAACTTTTCAGGATCAATAAAACTATGTTTCTAACAAAAAAGTTTATAAAAAGTTTATAAAAAATTTATATATAGTAGTAAATAGAGTAGATAAATAAAAAAAAATTTGTGAATTTTATTTTTCATAAGAAAAAATATTAATAAATTAACCGGAGTAATGCCTTTTTCAATAAGAATTCTTTATTATAGTTGGTCTGAAAATCCTGTCAATCTGTCAATATCTTGTCCTAAACATTCTATCAATTGACTAGAATGAGTGAACTCTTTTGTGTATGCAATATTATACTGCACACCCAAAAAGTATATTATAATATCTCGTGCAATTACTACCTAGCTTGGATTCTAATTCTGGCCGGCACAACTATCTTAAAATAGTTGCAGTTCTTTGGCATCATCGCCCATATATTTTTAATAAAACTAACCTTTGTTAACAACTCCTTTACAATAAGAAAAATAGATCTACCAATCTTTTTTTCTTGTTACCAGATTTTTTTTCTTTTTGTTACCCAGATCATAAATGCAAAATTAATATAGCCATAATTGATGTAAATAAGAAATTTAGCTTATCTTTCTACCAAATGGTAAGCAAATATATTCGTGGAAATATTTAAAGCCAAACTTATATTTAAGAGAATAATTGGGATATTTTTGTTTTTATATATGTATAATGATAATGTGTGTATATTTTCACAAAGATTTTTCCATCCATCCATAGTAAGATGAAATATATTTATTATAGTAGTATATATGTTCAAATTTTTCATTCAAATATTTAACAAAAACAAGAAAAAATCACAGAGAAACACTTCACTTACAATTACAGAGAAATATTTCACAAACAATCATTTAGAAACACTTTAAGCCTTATAATGCATCTGATTTTTTTTTATTATCAGCAAATATTTCATAATCTTTATGAATCCATAAATCAATATATAACCATATAAAAGTAATTAAATTATAAAATAATTAATACACTGATGTCAAATGAGGAGTCTTAACATTTTAATAATCTTCTAAGACTACAATATTTTTTTATGATTTTTAAAGAAAGCATTGACTTTTGCTAAAAGGTACTTTTTTTAAAAAACTTTTTATCACCTAATGCATAAAATCACGCATTTCAAGTTATGTACTATGTATGAAAATTTTTTTGATAACTTAAACAAAACATTTTTCCATTAAAATTTGAATACTTTTTTTAAAAAATAAATTACTCACAGCAATTCTTTGTTTTTCGCCACCACTTAAAACATCGATCCAATCTTGAATAGAGGCCCATCCGCCTTCACGCTCAAGTATGTACCCTAAATGTACCTTAAAACACATTTAAAATTTTTAAAAGTCATTTTCTTACCATACAATAAAACATGTGTAGAAAGCACATATATCACTATGATCAGTTGAAATTTTAAAAACAATTTTAAATTGAGTTTTTTCAAAGACAACTTAACCAATTGTAAAAATTTTCTTTTTATAATAATTCTTACATAATTAATTTTTATTTCAACAAAAATAAATATAGCCTTAACTTTACGACATGCAAGTAATTCAATTTTTTGTAAAGTGCCCTCCATCATCTCCACAATTTTACTTTGAGCCACTTTTTTTGTAGCATTAATCTATAAACCTCGAAAATTCTGTACACTATTTTCACATTTGCCTCTATTTTTCAATATTCCCTTCACAAAAGCCCAGTATAATTCAATAACTCACTCCTCAGGACAGCTCGGTGGATGAGCATCCTTCGGAACAAAATTGTCTCTTTTTTTCAGAAAATGGCCAAAATAAGGTTGATTGTTTGTACTTTTAATTAGAGGAAGAAGTCGTTTATATTTGCTTTTTTATTAGAGGAAGAAGTTGTTTTTTTAAGCATTACCTTACATATAGATCTGGTGTCAAAGATTGATTTGTTATGAAAGGAGAGCTTTTAAAACCTCAACTGCAAATTGCCTGCCATACAAGGGAACTCGAAAGTGATTTTCTTACTCAAATTTACTTAAATTTGTCAGAAGCTTTATAACTTTTCGACTGATAATAGTAATGATTACCTGGAAGCATCGAGTGATCTTTTTTACAGTAAGTTTCATCGTCTTCAATAGCATAAATTTTTTTTCATAATTAATTTAAGCAAATTTTTAGCTTTTTAGCTTTAATCAAGCAACTTTTTTGGTATTTTTTCTTGAAATGTTTGTTCAGATTTTCTTTTTTGAATACTCTTTGAACGAAAGTTTTATTGCATTGAAACTTTGTAGCTAAATCTTGTTGTGACAAAGCCATATTTTGAGGAATTGAGTCGATCTTGATTTTCCACCACTTCCTGATTTTGACAATGACAATGATAATAAAGAGTCAGAGTCAAACATTGGTTTTTATAAATTTTAATAATTGTAATAAGTTTTTTAAAAGTTTATAAAGTCTTATAAAGTTGCTAATAATCATAAAAAGTTTTGGTTTTCACACAACCAATCATATGTAGTATGTTCCAGAATCAAGTCATTTAATAATTTGTTTTATAAATTTGATAAACATGCATTACAAAGTATGTCATTGAACAAATATTTCACAAATAATGTTTTATTTGTAAATGTTCTTAATTTATAGTTTTTTATAAGTAATTTTATGTGTCATATGATGTGGCAATCCGTGATATTTATTATGTGTTGATATGTGTTGTATAAGGTTATGAGTAAAATAAAAATGTAAATATCTGTTACATATGAAGTGTTTTTATGTGAATGTTGTTAGTAGTTAAAATGTGTACAATAAACTCTCAATAAGCCTTGATAACTCAAACTATTTTTAAAATTCCAGTAAAGCCTTTATTTGTAGATTATACTCCACAATAACTCTAACAAGCTAATTTCTTGGTCCTTTAGAGGTTTAAGTTATTAAGAGTTTACTGTAATATGTTATGCTAATTCTTAAATTTGTGATTTTATTGTTGTGATGTTTTGTGTTGATAGATGACTTGGCTCACCTTCATATCAGTGTCTATTGTTAAAAATGATTATTGGTTAGTTTTATTACATATAACCTTAAGTTTCCAAAAACACTGGTAGAAATGTTATGCAACTGTCATCTGTGTTAGATACTTTTGTTATGTAAAGATGTAAAGTTATTTAAAATACTTTAATTTTGTAAAAAATAATGAAGTAAATAATGGTGTATATATATATATATATATATATATTATATATATATATATATATATATATATATATATATATATATATATATATATATATATATATATATATATATATATATATATATATATATACATATACATATACATATATATATATATATATATATATATATATATATATATATATATATGTATGTATATATATATATATACTATATATATATATATATATATATATATATATATATATATATATATATATATATATATATATATATATATATATATATATATATATATATATATATATACATATATATATATATATATATATATATATATGTATATATATATATATATATATATATACATATATATATATATATATATATATATATATATATATATATATATATATATATATATATATATATATATATATATATATATATATATATATAGACATAAATAAACATATGTATATGTATTTATTTACATATATATACCATTATATATAGAGTTCTCACCAAGTTCAGCATGGAGACAAGATCATTATCAGATATTCTTTTTTTTTCCATTTGAGCTACAGAATCAGGATAAATGATTTGGTCTCTAAGTGTTCCAACTGTCATGTATGGTCGTTGAGGTACATAAAACAACTTTTTTGCATCAGGCTTAGTGATAGATCCTCCATAAGCTGGCCATAACTAAAAATTAAATTCATTTAATTACAAAATATAAAAAAATAAAAAAATAAAAATTTAAACTCTACAAAAAAGCAGTAAAAATATTCACTGCATGAAAAATTATATTTTCTGAACAGTTGAAGTTTTTATACCAACAAAAAATATTAACAAAAAATATTAAGTAAAAAAAAATTTAAATTTAAATAAAACATTTAACATTTATTTAACAAAAAACAGAACAATAATAAAATTATTCAGAAAATTTACTTCTATTAAATAACAATAATTTCAACTTCTCAATTGTATGTTAATAAATGTTTATATTTTGAATTATTTTAAACAATATTGTGTTATTTAATATGTTGCACTCCTATTCGTCAATAATTTATACTCCTAATTACTAAAATTGAGAGTGTTATCTACAAAAATTAACTATTTATCTTCTTTCCTAAAGAAGATATATAATTAGTTGTTATATAAAAACCAACACAGCATATGAACAATTATATTTATAATTGTATATACACTTGTTTTTTACCTAATATTACATAACTTTTCTGTTACTAGTTTTTTTTGTTTCCAGTTTTTCCTGTAATAAACTCTTTAAACCTTTACAAAATTTTTTTCTTTTTTTAGGTTCATACACCCTTTTAACAAACTTTGAGTAAAAAAAAGACAGGATTTATGAGCGGATCATTTTTTGTGGCACAAACTAAAATTTTATCTTGTCTTTCTGATGTATTTCGAGGCCATTCGAGGCTTGTCTTTTTGATGTAATTCGAGAGATTCTATTTTTATTTCTTTCCTTATATATTTTATATATATCTGCTACTGTTGTTTTCCTATATCAAACTGATCTGTTATGTCTCTTGCAGTTCTGCCTTGTTCAATTGCACGCAATACTGCTTCTTTGACAGCTAAACTTGTATATTTTTGCTTTGTCATTTTTAAAATTTATTCAAAACAATCTTCTTTTTAATTAAAAATACTTTATGCTTTGTTTACTGTTTTTAAACATTAAATAAAAGCCAACAAAAGTATTGCAATTTTATTATTTTAGTTCTGCCCTTTTTTAAAAATTCATTTATTTTTACAGTTTTATTTATAATTGTTATCACTTTTTTGAAATTCCATTGAAAATTTAAAAGAAATTGGACTTTTCACTTAAAAGTTATCTTAAGTTATGCGCTTGTTCGGTTACTTTTACACGCTACTGTATATATATATATATACATATATATATATATATATATATATATACATATATATATATATATATATATATATATATATATATATATATATATATATATATATATATATATATATATATATATATATATATATATATACATATATATATATATATATATATATATATATACATATATATATATATATATATATATATATATATATATATATATATATATATATATATATATATATATATATATATATATATATATATATATTTATATATATATGTATACATGTATATATATATATATGTATATATATATGTATATATATGTGTGTACATATACGTGTGTATATATACGTGTGTATATAATATATATATATATATATATATATATATATATATATATATATATATATATATATATATATATATATATATATGTATATATATGTGTATATATATATATATATACATATATATATACATATATATATATATATATATATATATGTATATATATATATATGTATATATATATAAATAAATATATATATATATATATATATATATATATATATATATATATATATATATATATATATATATATATATATATGTATATGTGTGTGCATATATATATATATATATATATATATATATATATATATATATATATATATATAAATATATATATATATATACACCATATATACACCATTGGTTGGTCATATTAAATTTTTCCCATAAAATGTAAACATTTGTTTTTTTTAAAAAACTAATATTGAAGACCAGAAAAAGTTTGAAAACTTAAAAAAAAAATTTTGAATGATAGATTGCCTGCCCAAATCATAACACCCCTTGCATTTTTTATTTATTTAAGTTATCCATTACAATCACTTTGATAGCATTTAGAAATATCATTTTACTGATATTTCTAAATGCTATCATTTAGAAATATCTACTACTGACAAGATTTCCTACTAAATAGCAGATTTGCTAGAAGAAAGTCTCACATCAAAAGATGGTCATCAAAAGATTTTTTTGTCGTTTCAAACCGAAAGAAAATAAACAAGAAAAAATTTTAAAACTTTAAAAAGACTTTTCTTTAAATTGATAGGTTGTCTGCTCAAATCTCTCAGTTGATGTATGTACACTCCCTGCATGTTTTCCCTATTTAAGTGAGACACATGTGGTTATCTATAAATAAATTAGGTTTAAGGTGCAGGTTTATCAAGTATCAATATCAATCAGTATCAATATCAAAGAGTTATTAAGTATCAACATCAATATAAAAAAGCAATAAAAAAAATGTATTATAAAACAGTCTAAAATTATAAAAAAATAACAAAAACATCATCAACTAAAAAAATTTTCTAGTCATAATTTTTGTGGTTTTTAAAAAGCAATTAAATTGGGCTACTATTTAGTTATTTCATTATTTAAAGTTGAATAAATTTGAAATTTTAAAAAAAGTATGAATGAAGTAGATTAAAGGTTGATTTAAGCATTAAAGAGAGAGTTTTTTCTATTTTGCTGCATGCAAAAAATATTCATTCTGCATATATATGAATACATTTGAATCTATGAATTTACATAAAAAAATCTAACCCCTCCAAGTATTCTAAACAGTGTTGACTTGCCACACCCATTGGGACCGCATACTAAAACATTCCGTCCTGACAAAACCTCAAAAGATAGTTCCTTTATAAGCACATCACCATTTGGCGTTACTAAAGGGACTCTGTCAAAACAAATAATATAATCTTTTTCAATAAATGTCGCTTTACAGCTCATGTCAACTGTTCCCTTTGATTGTTCTAAATTAAATTAAATCAAAAATGTTTTTATATTAAACATATAAATAGGTTACAGCTTTTATAAGACAAATTACAAAAAATCTCAAATACCTGCATTAACTAAGCTACGAACAAAACAGTTATTTTTCATGTCGTTAAGAACATCTATAAATGATGCAACATTCATAGCAAACCTTTAAAAGAAATATGAATATATATACAAATGTTAGTTAAAAATGTTAGCAGTATTGATTCAATTCCATACAAAACTGGGAAATATTGCATACAAAATTGAAAATATTGCTATATTTAATGCAAGAAATCAGTTTTGCCTGAACTAGACTAAGCAATGAAAGACCACAAAGAAGTATAAAATAATTAAAGAAAAAATTCTGTCAGGGTTAAAATAAGTAACACAAAAAAGCAGAATAAGTAACACAAAAAAATTAACAGATGTTTAGAAAGAATAAAGATTAAAACTTGAAAAAAAATAAATTTATAAATCAAAGTAAACAAAAATTTCATTGCTAAAGCTTAAAATATGTTGCACAATATACTACTGCTGAATTAGATTATAAACTCTGAAAATTTATGGAGCTGTTATAATGGAGCTCAGGAAAATTTCAGCATTTTTGTAGTCCTGATGAACGTGTGTTAAAATTGTTTCCAGGTCAGATAATCAGTGGGCTCATCAGGCCGTCAAATAGTAAAAGTACCTTTGAAAATATTGTCTTCAAATTTTTTGTGGTTTATTCTTGTTCTACTTGGTTTTTCATCACTCTATACTCAATGGTATTTCTTAAACTTTTTCTATGTTTATAAGAATTTTGATTTACAAGTATATAGATAAAAAGCAGTGATCCATCTAAAATAATGGTTTTAACAAAATTTTACATAATATATAATTTTAGAAATTAAAAAATTGATATTTATTAATGCTCTAATCCTGTCATAAAGTTACATCAATAAAAAAGAAATTTATCATCTTTTAAAGTCACTATTTTAATTGATATTTGCTAACTCTAAAATTGTTAACATCAAGTTGTTTGCTTAAATAAAACATCAAAGCTGTTTTATTAAATAAGAACTATTAACAGTAACAAAAAAAAATGTCATTAAACTAGTATAGAAGAAATTTATTACCTAATAAATTCATCATTAATATTTTTAAATTAACTACAATTAAAAAATCTTGTTAAAGAAACAAAAATTATCTTTTATATTCAAAAAAGATAAAAGAAATCAATATGTTTAGTTTTTCATTGCCATGGTGTTACTATGGTGTTTAAGTTGCTTTAATTATATTAGTTACTATTGGTTTCTCATTTTTAATTTCATTTAAAATGCAACTTAGTAGTTAGTTCTAGAGTAAGAATGGATTTATGTATTTTTGGAAATGTCAAACAATACTTGTCATAAACTAATTTATTGTAGAAAGATTGATTTAAAGAGATTTGAATAAGAAGATGCCAGTAAAGAATTAATTTGGAGATCTGGAATAAGAGATGACAAAATTCTAACAACCTGCCATCACTTTGAAAAGATTTAAAATTCCTGGAACTAGAAGCTATCATCAATTTAAGAATCTATAGATACTATTAAGTATCAGTAACAAATGGTGATAACAAATAATATAATTTACTATAATCTGTTAGATTACATTTGAAGGCCTGGATCAAAAGTAGGTTCTATCTCTGGTTTGGCTGACAAATAAAAATTCTAATTATCAATAAACTTTCTTTTGATGCATCACAAAACATGCTTGTATCACTTTGATGTGCAAATTATAAGATAATTACAAATGCTATACAAATATCAGAACAAAAAGACCATGTGCTAACTCCTGAAAGAAGTCATATTCCCAGGAGATGTTTTTCAATGGTATAAATCCACTGGAGCAAATAAATTGCAAAAATTAGAAAATGATCTAACTATTGCTATTTTGGATGCACATAATATCACAGCTCTCACGATACTGAAAATGATAAATGCTTGGAAGTAAATGTGTTTTGTACAAACTGAAATTTCTATGAATCATCAATGAACAATTTCCAATAACATCAGCAGAATGGGTACACCAAGATTCAGGTGTAACTAGTGAGCCAGTCGAAGATGTGCTATTATTATCAAGATGCATAAATCAAACCGTTTATGCAGTAGAATATAACCAGAAGATTGGCAATTTCTATTTTGAGCATTTTCTTATCACCTTGCTGAATACAAATATAACTTATTTTCTAGAAGTTAGTGATAGAAAATTAATAAGGACCAGGTAAGGCTCTAGGCAATGCAAATAAAAGTGGAAAGAGCCAAATTAATAAAGCAATCAGAAGAGCAATAAAGAATTAAATCATCATTCTGTTTCTGACTTAGATGAGAAATTAGTACCACCAATATGTGATGCTTCCTCATTGGTGTTAGCAACCCTGCAAAGGTTTTTAAAGATGTAAAAAAGGCCTGTTCATTCCTTCAAAAATTTTAAAAGGAATATTTATTTTATGAGCTGTAATGAGCTGTAATAATACATTATGATAATACATGAGTTTAAATTATCAGGTTTTTTTAAATAATGCAGATGTTTTATGACAATACTGAGCTTGAATTATCAAACTTGTTTTACAATGATGTCATATATATGAATGATAATACACAGGTGCAATAAACTTATTTGTGCTGTTAGAATGATAATAAACAGGTGCAATAAACTTATTTGTGCTGTTAGAATGATAATACACAGGTGCAATAAACTTATTTGTGCTGTTAGAATGATAAAACACAGGTGCAATAAACTTATTTGTGCTGTTAGAATGATAATACACAGGTGCAATAAACTTATTTGTGCTGTTAGAATACTAATACACAGTTGCAATAAACTTATTTGTGCAGTTAGAATGATAATACACAAGTGCAATAAACTTATTTGTGCTGTTAGAATGATAATACACAGGTGCAATAAACTTATTTGTGCTGTTAGAATGATAATACACAGACAATAAACTGATTTTTGCTGTTAGAATGATAATACACAGGTGCAATAAACTTATTTGTGCTGTTAGAATGATAATACACAGGTGCAATAAACTTATTTGTGCTGTTAGAATGATAATACACAGGTGCAATAAACTTATTTGTGTTGTTGTTGCGAAGTAAACAGTAATAAGTTAAAAAAAAAAGATATTTTAGATATTTATTTAGCAGTGATAGCTTTGTTATTTTTATTAGCATTTTTGCAATTACTAAGTTTATTTTTATGCTTACTGTTATAATTATAAATTATAATTAATTTCACTATTGATTTATAATTAGTTATATCTTTTTATTATAGTTATTAATTTTAGTTATTATTTGTAATAATATTTTATACATATTATTGCTATTTTTGTTATAACTATTACATTAATATCTTATCTATTTTATTTATTTATTTTTTAATTTTTTTTTATTAGTTTATGTTTCTATATGTTTCTTTATGTTTCTATATGTTTCTTTACACCTAATTTTATTTATGTAAATTTTAGTAAATACAGTAATAGCATTAAAAATATAGTTTTATATATTATCATCTTTTCATGTATTTGTGATATATATATATATATATATATATATATATATATATATATATATATATATATATATATATATATATATATATATATATATATATATATATATATATATATATATATATGTATATATATATATGTTTTTTTGTGATTGCTCAGTTAAGGTCAATGTTGTTAAGATGTTCAGTAAGCTTTATTGTTAATGTCATTATATATCACCAGAGAGAAAAATTAGTATAAACTGCATATATTTTAAATACTATGAAATAAAGTGAAAATTATTAAATCTATTAACAACAATTATCAAAAATCAAATGAACACTACTAAAGCATTTTTGTTTTGAATTTAATAGTTTTTTTCATTATTGAAAAAAACTATTAAATTCATCAATACTGTTTGTTTTTAATAAAAGCTCATATTTTTCTATCATCCTTTATTAAAACAATATGTACCTTAACTTGATATATGCTAATATTTATGATGTTTTGATATGTAAATTGTTTAAAGATTGATTGTTGTTTATATGCAATAATGAGAAAAAAATCAGTTTAATGTTTTTGAGGCCAATAGAAAGTAAGGTTTGCACTAGCTCTCAGAGATTTCACTGATAGCAAGTAAGGTTTGCACTCGCTCTCAGAGATTTCATCAGCTTTTAACAGCTGTTAAATACATTAAAGACTGAAAACTTATAATGGCTGCCTTTAGCTCCTTTAAAAGTAAATAACTTTTATAAAAATAAAACTATTTAAATTTTATTTTACTTAAAATAAATTTTATTTTACTTAAAATAAATTTTATTTTACTTAAAATATTATTTTACTTAAAATATTATTTTACTTAAAATATTATTTTACTTAAAATATTTTGAATTTCAAATTTTTGAGGAATTTTTAAGCAATTCAATTTTGATCAACTTTTGGAATTTTTTTTATTAGTGAAGTATATTTTTTTTTTAGTAACAGTTTATGAAAAAGAAAGTTGAATTTAACCCAATTTCACATACCTTATATACTTTTTCATGGACTTGAAAAGAAAAACAGATATTTCAAGATTTTAAGAACTTACCCTGACAATCTAGAAAGTTCTCGATCCACCAAAGAAAGTCTCCTGAGGGCATCAGCCATTTTTAACAGTATCTTTCCTGTTGTATAGTATTCCTAAAAATAATAACATACACAAAAGTTATTCTAGGAAACTATAATTATATTTTAGAAAATTTCTTATAATTATTCCAAAATATTACCTCCATTATTTCTATACTCTGCATTTTTTTATGTTGTTCGTTATTTGCAAAAAAACTTATTGCCATAGCACAAATAGTTACGATTTTTGCAAGATCTGCAAAAACAATCATTTTTAATAAAAACTTTTTTAAAAATACAAAAAATACTAAAACAAAAATCTCAATATATAATAACTTGTTTCTTATATCAATATATATCAATTTGTTTCTCCGCGCAGCGAATTTACAGCTCTCACAAAAGTATAATTTTTTCATAATTATAAACTTTCATTATATTTTCATAAATATAAACCACTTTCTTTTTTTCTCTATTTTTAGATATTGAAATTATTCTAGTTGAATATTATTTGTTTTATAAAGACAAAACAAATAACATTTATTTATATATATATATATATATATATATATATATATATATTATATATATATTATATATATATATATATATATATATATATATATATATAAAATTAAATGTAATAAATATTTTTATACAATTAGAAAAATTAAAAATACTTATGCAATTACATAAAATAAAAAAGACAGAGTTTCAGTTTCCGATGGAATTTACTTTGCTTACAAAATGTGTTTATTTATTTTGCATAACAGATTTGTAGTGCTTGATATTATACTTTATCTATAAAACTTGCTGACTTTGTAAAATAAGTTATTTTATACTACAGCAATTTTGTTTTTTGGTAAAACAGAACTTTAATATTATAAATGTTGAATATAAATATTATATAATTATACTATAAAGTTGTAGTAGAATTAATAAAAAAAAAAAAAAAATTCTTTTCTTTTCAAACACAGATATGCAACGAAGAGAGAGTTTTTTTTTCTATAATTCTTTGAGTAAAATACCGAGTGATATCACTATAGCATTTAGCATTAAAGACAATATGGTCAAAATTTTTTATAAAAGAAAAGCATTATTGTTGTAACTAAGATAAAAAAGTTATTTTAAAAATAAACCAATTATTGTTTATAATAAACTGCAATGCTTCCTTTTTATGCCAAAAAAATTAAAAAAGAGCACCAATTAAAAAGCAAATGTTTTTAATTAGATTTAATTAGATTGGACAAATTGATGGGTCTGTTAAATTAAAAATCAGTTTCTTAAAAAAAGCCTATTATGAAAAAATAAATTGATAATATTCTTGTAACAGTTATAAAAAATATCCACTCTCGCACTCATTTAATCCAGCCAAGGCCTCTGTGTGTATATATGTATATATATATATATATATATATATATATATATATATATATATATATATATATATATATATATATATATATATATATATATATATAAATATACAGTCACAGATAATATAAAGTAAGATTGTTAATAAAATTGAAACTCCAACAATAAAAACAATAAATTTTTACGTTAGGATCTATGAACAACAATAATTTTTTTTTAATTTCCAAAGAAAAACTCTTTTTAAATCATTGCAAAGGTAACTATTATTATTAAATAAAATTTTTACAATTTTTCCATCCAAAATGTGACTAAAGTCATCAAAGCTTTAATTATGAAATGTTTTGTCAAAAACTATTATTAGACTGATTGAATTCACTAAGATTTCACTAAGAACCTCATACAGTTTTTTTATTTTTCATTTTGAAGGAGGTATTTTAGATTTTAAAATCACCCATAAATTTTTAACGGGGTTAAGGTTTGTACAGCCATTTAGGCATGTTAACTTTACTTTTTTTAAGGAATTATTGTGCCACTTTGCTTGTAAATTTGGCATCGTTGTTTTGTTGTTAAAAGAATTTCAGATCTAAATTTAACTCTTACTAAACTTAGATCAGCAAAGCAGATTAAAAGTGGATTGACATAAATTTTTGAAAAGCAAATGATCATACAATTGTCCTGTCATTTTACCTTCAACATTCACCAATCTACCCACACTATTTGAAACAAAGCATCCTCAAACCATAAGTGAGTCACCTCTATGTTTATTATTAGACAGTTTTTTAAAGATTTCTATAGAAGAGTGCATTACAAGGTCTGTGTCGTTTTTTAAAACCAAATATTTGAAATTTACTCTCTTGATACCATAACAGAGTTCTGAAAAAAGCCTCAGCCTTGTTAATATGCAGTTTTGCAAATGCTAAATGTTTTTTTTGTTTATATCACTAATGAGGGGTTTACTTTTTCTGAAGATAATATATTAAACCACTTAAATTGGGTCTTTTCTGAACAGTTCAAGTGGAACCATTAAATTTAAGATTTTTAACAACCAGTATCTTATCTGAAGTTTTTGTTGAATTTTTCTTTGCTATCTGTGCAATTAGCATATAAGCAGTTCTTGTTGAAGCAACCAAGTTTTTTCTAATTTTTAACAGAACCAATTGTTTCATATTTTATACATCTTTCTAACACCACTTATTAGTATCTGGTATTTTTTAGCATATTTTTTTAGGTTAGACCCATTTTTAGATGTCAAATGACTTGGGATGTTCAATGAATAATTTTAATAATAAACCATTATTATTGTTAGTTTTACATTTTTTTAAATCATGAACTTAAATCATAAATCATTTTTTAAATGGCAGTTACTACAAGAAACTCTGCAAAGGTATGGCTCATTGGGATAGCAACTAAGCAGCTCTCATCATCAAGATTGGCAACAAAAAACAAAACAAAACCTCTGGTGTCTCTTCTTTCATCATCTGAAAGAGTATCTCATAATAAAGGAGAGCATTCATCATACAATTCAAAAGCTGATTGTTGTGTGGAATAAGGCAAGAATCCCAACACAAAGAATAGATTCTGGTGAAAGAAAACTTCGGAAATTAAGAAGATAGGCAATTTCTTGCAATGCAGCAAGAAGATGTTACCAGCTGCAGCCAGAGTTGATATGAACCTACTGGCAAAGGAAGCCAGAAAGAGAGCTCAAGATCAAGCATTTGATCCAAGGTTATCAAAACAGCAACACTCCAGTGGTACTGTCTCAGCCAACATCAGCAGCTCGGAAGACAGCCAAGACAGCGATGATGACCCGAGTTTTGAGATTCTGTCTTCTGCGTTGCAATCTGTTTCTTCTACACCAAAGCTAAAGCGTCTGAAAAGTATTGTGTCAAGCCCAGAAGTTGCTGAAGCTTTGGAGATTGTTAACCTTCCAGATCCCAAAGCTATGTTTGTTGTTGCTTCAGTGGCTAAAGCACAAGGACATCCTCTTGCAGACTTAAGTATGTCTCGAAATACAATCAAGAGATCTTAAATGTCTACTTGTAAACACATTACTCAGAATGACAAAGACAACTTTTCCATTTAAATTTCCGTTGCTTCTACACTGGGATGGGACTGCTTCCAGATATTACTGGTTCAAAAGAAACTATGGACCGCATTGTAGTAATTGTAACTGGAAATGGTTTAGAGAAATTGCTAGTGAGATTCTCTCCAGCTAAAGATGAGCTCTTTATCTCTTTATTAGCTGTTCAATTACATGCTGTTTCTACCATGCTTAAGTGTTGATATAACTTCCATTTTAAATATTCTCATTTTTTGGATTATTATCAATTTCCAATTTGATAGGTGAACTTCCATGTGATGCAAGGTAGTGTCCTTATCCTTCGCTAAGTTATATTTATATTTTTCAGCATTACTTTTTGAGCTTGAGGCTGATAATGAAGATTTTTTAAAGTATTCTTTAGTTTATAGGATTACGAGGAAAATATTCAAAAGGAATAGCCTTAATATTTTCATCAACATCAAGATGTATTCAGAATAATGAATGGAGGTAATGACCTAATGCAAACCAGATTTTTTGAAACAGTTCCAAAAGTATCTAAACCGCACAATTGCTGTTGCAGCTTTTACTGCATTTTCTTGACACCTTTGGTTCTTCTCAGAACATCTTATAGGTCAGGCATTATTTAATAGTCGGGTTGATCTGGATGTAAAGAGGGCTATGGTAGTTAACCCCCACCTGCCCAAAACAATTCTAGCACTGAAGAGAGTAGATCATTTGTGACTATGAGAACCTATAGTTTCTTCGAGTTGTTGAGCAGTACAGGTAGAGAAAAGACCAAAAGATCCTAATTATTGGGAAGACGATGAATTATATCAGAAGTTGGCAGAGAGAGTCCAAAGAATGAAAGTTGTTAATGACAGCGCAGAATGTGAAATTGCATTAATTGGACTGTACAGAGAATCGATTACAAAGGATGAAGAACAAAAGCAGTTCCTACTTCATTTTGTTCAACCCCGCCACCAGCTATACCCTACTTCATCCAAGGCAGCCATGTTAGCAAATGATGACAAAATTGTTGATTAATAAACATACTTTTTTCATTATATTCATAATATTCTTACTTGATATTACATTTTTGTTTAAAAATTATGAAACATTGAAATACTTTAATGAAACTTGATCAGATGATTATAGGATTTATATTTACCTGATTTAAATTGTTAGTTTCTGTAATTTTTAAATTTGGTATTAAATGATAGTGAAAACTTAAATTTTTTGATTTTTTATCCTAGTGTTCAAAAAGTCAAAATTTATAGCAACCCCTAAATATTATCAGATTTGCTTCAAATTTGGCTACAATATTTCAAATATTAATAGGAACAAAGGCAGCCTTGTGGAGAAATGAATTTAAATAATTTATCATTTTGGATATATATATATATATATATATATATATATATATATATATATATATATATACATATATATATATATATATATAT